GTTTTTGTGAGATTTAGTCGAAGACCAATCTTTCCACAAGCGTTATCGAAGACGGCAAGCATTCATTCCGTTTCGCTAATGTTTGATGTTATAAGGACGATGTCATCAGCAAAGCGAAGATGTTGTAACTGCCGGCCGTCGATTTTCACTCCCATGTTATCCCATTCCAATGTTCACATGACGTTCTGGAGGGTAGCGGTGAATAATTTTGGCGAGATGATATCGCCTTGCCTAACTCCTCTTTTGACGTCAATGTTGATATCGTTGTGGAATTGCGAAACCTTGGTTGTGAAATTTTTGAACAGCTCACGAAGAATCTTTGTGTGCTGAGTAAGGACTCCCTGACTATCGAGGACTTCCAAGACTGCTTCTATCTCAACTGAATCAAAGGCCTTCTGTAAATCGATCAAAGTGAGATAGAGCGTTCTTTTGTACTCACCGATACTTCACTGAGCCGTCTTACCGTGTGGATGTGGTCCATCGTACTAAGTCCTCTTCGAAACCCTGCATGCTCACATGGCCGTACTTCGTCTAGTGTTCTGTCAATCCTGTTTATGATGACTCGAGTGAAAAGCTTGTAGACGACAGACAGCAAGCTGATTGCGCTATAGTTTCCGATATCGTGTAGGTCACCGATATTCAAGAATGGTGGACGTGGCTATCGAAGAGATCCGAGTAGTATTCGTGAATGATTTTCTCCATTGCCTTTCTGGACGCTGTAACTGTTCCGTCTGGGCGTTGGAGTGCAATCATTTGGTTTTGTAAGTCGCGAAGCTTCGGTAGGCTTCGCGAACGCTTTTCCCAGTCTCCGCCGCTTCGACCATTACTGCTGCTCTTCTCTCTTTAAGATCTTTTATCGCCTGTCTGCATTGTTTTAAAAGTTCAGACATTAGTTTGCGGTTACCTGCAGCTCGTGCGAATCCACGCTAGCGTATCAGCTCGAGTGTTTCTGGAGACAGACGTCTCTTGGTGACTGTCTAACTCTGAGCTTTGGTAGCGCTAGCGTGAAGATGTTGAATGAGCCGATCGTATTCTTCGCCGATGTTAACGACAACGGCATCCTCCCAACAGCCGGCTAATGACTTGAATAAATCCCAGTTTACGGTGGTTCTGGGACTTTGGTTGTGGAATTTAGCGGCTTTTTCTCCTTTTCGCGAGAAATAGAATCTTGTATGAAGGAGACGATGGTCTAATCTCGTGTAAAATTTTGGAACAACAGCGACATCAGTTAGCCAGATCCTTCTATTTACTATAATGTGGTCCATTTCGTTATGGTACTCTCCACTGGGAGACTCCCATGTCCAGTGCTGAGGGTGGGGTTTTTGGAATTGCTAGTTACCATGGATGGTCTTGGCCGTCATGATAAACTCAGATAGCCGCTCACCCTTTTCGTTCCATTCTAATCCGTGGGTGCCAATGTGACATTCTTCAGACGTTCTTCTTGGTCCAATCTTGGCGTTGAAATCTCCAATGATGACCTTGAATAATGAGTGGTCTTTTCTGCGGAACTTCTCCAAGTCCACGTAGAACGCTTCGACTTCTTCGTTATAGTTTGATGTCGGCGCGTAAACGACGAAGATTGTCAAAGCTGGTATTGATCCACACCTCTTAATCGTAAACGTCTGATTCGGGTTGTAAGCTGTTCGAATGAATCGATGTTCATGGACAAACTTGTGTCCACAAGAACGCCGGCGCCGCCGACTCGTCTACCACCGCATGTTCCGAGGAAAAGTTCTTCTCCGGTGTCATAGACGGCGTTGAAAGTGTGGCGTCTTCTCGTCTCATCCAGGCCGATGACGTCGTGCGTTGTCCTTCTTCTTGCTTGCATGAGCAAGTGTTCTATGGAGGACTCGGATGTAAGTGTACGTGCATTGTAGGTACAGATCGTCATCGTAGTTCTTTGAAATCCAGGCAGCTTCCATTGGCCCTGAGATTTTAGCAGCCTCTCGGTACTCGTCCTACCCAATGCTGCGAAATTGGGAGCTCTTTCGGGGTCAGGGGAATGAGGCCCGTTTTTTTAGTGTTTAGTATTTTTGATACACACGTACAGCTTGCTGGGCTTTGAACGTGGGGGCTGGGTATGCTCACGGATAGCTCGCCAGGCTCTCCCAGAGTGGACATGGAGCTTATTTGTTGGAGACGACTCCTAACCGCCTCCCAAATACTTCCCTGTTACTTGATTGCAGGCTTTTGACCGAATTGACTCGTAGAATGCAATCCGCATAAGCAAGAACGCGCCCACACACGTATGCATGAATACGCCTAGCAAATACAGAAAGTATGTGCCAAATCAGCGCAGCAAAAACAGGGAGTCCATCCCCTGGATCCACCTGCGTCTCAGGGAAGCAAAGGTCGCTTTTGCTCGGCGATTAACCCCTATCCGCCACCTGGGGACGCACCACGTGGCCTCACGACTAACCGGCTCGAAGTCCCTCATGTGAGGGAGATCCGTGGGGCAGAAAACTAGCTGAGAGAAATGCAAAGTAAGGGAATCCGTGCTACAGTGTGTAATGCGCGAGCCCCCTGAAGAGGGAAATCGTGGTTCGATCTGGCCTGGGGTCCAAGTTTTGCCAATATCTCAACATCGTTTTGGTTGAAATGCATATTATTAAAAAACATTGGAGATTTCTTCGCTTTCTATGGTAAATGAACGTACTCCCAAAAAATTTATAGTATGATCGCCTGTAGAACTTTCGAAGACAACAATAGCTAAACTGAATTCCGCACTCTCCATTACGAGATTCCCACGTCAGTTAACAAGGAAGTCTCTAGCAGCAACACCGTGGATGGTTTAATGACAATGAACTCAAACAGCCTCCCACCGTCTTTCTTTAAAACAACGTCTACTTCCAGTCGTTCATCACGATCCAGCTAGCTTTGTAACAGTCGTTCTGCAGAGTGGGTGCGTACTTCTATAGCTTGAAACAAAATTTCTTAACGAATTTGACCAGTTTTTCCACTTCGATTCTATTTCTCAACTTTATTCGACGGCACGTTTACTTCGGATGCCAAGCCAGCTCCGAACCCGCTATCGTTCTGATAGCACCGCCGGGGTAAAAAAAATAGCTAAGAAAAAGGCAAAGAAAAGGCCGCAGTGGCGATGGGTAGGATTTTACCCACATGTAGGATTTGGGTTCCGGAAAGAGTAATCTTGTGTTCGAAATAGACCTAGTTTTGCAATTATCTAAACTACATTGTGGTTGTATTTCATTTAATACATTGCAGGTCATAGAAAATAATAGGCAGCAAATGAAAACGTAAGCATTGTGACACATTCGCTGTTATTATCGGGCTATTGTACTACTTTTGAGCCGTTTCTGAAACTCCTTTCTCCTCAGTGAGAGATATTGCCACAAGAAATAGACATAGGTAGCGCAGTTAAAACTATCTTAATCACCGACTTTTTTATCTAATAGATTTTGCTTTAGTGCCCAAAATAAGTTACAATTCGATCGGCACAACTCCAGTTACGAGTACGACAGCTCTGCGAAGTGTAGCCAAGCGTTGGCATGCAAAAGTTGGACACTATTTCATTTCGCCCGTTACTCCTTTAACGGCCACTGCGAACTTCTGTGATTGCTCTGTGACCAGCTTACTACTGTGTGATCAGGTCTAACTTAGGTGGCGAATTCTCGCCTCTACTGTTTTAGGACCTCCCAACGGTTAACCGCCTCATCGTGGCTGGGAGGTCTTCCTTGGTGTCGGACTGCGATGTACAGCGGGGGATTCATCTCTGGCAGGGTCTCCCAAGCTGAGAAGGAGTCCGGCGTTTACATCAAGAAGCCTTGATAAGAATAAACCAATACCAGGATCCACAACCGTCTTGATATCAAAGTCGCATGGTGGCAAATCTCGCTCTGATGGCTGCGTCTGCCAGTGGTAGTAATGACCTGGGGCAGACTTTGGCCAGGCTGACTTCGGCGCTCCATAGAGCCATAATGGCTTGACCAGCAAATCTCTGAAAAATGAGATTATGCTGGGGCCTACACAACCAGTGAGGACGGGCCATTCAAGAATCAAGTTTCAAATACGGTTTTAGGAAAAGTTACATTACCTCTTAAAGACTTCCGCCATTGCTGCTTATACAGGTGGTCGTTTATTTGAATGTGACACTCTCAACTAGGCTACGTTTTACGATATCGATATGTATTTAAGGTGAGTAATGGCTATACTAGCAAAGCAACGTGACATGTCCATATCGTGTGAGTGTGAAACCGGGCGTACTCCCAGTTTACCGCATAGAGTGTCTGTGTCAAATATCACCTTTCATCCTTGAGTATATCTAAAGCTGATTTTCAAAGATTAGCAGGCTATACGTGGCTGTCAAAAAGCTGAACTCATTAAATTAAACGAGCCTCATTCTCCTGACCTTAATAAAGTCCACGATACTGCAGCGATGGTTATGTCGCGGTTGTGCCGAAATTCTACAGGGTATCTGACCATCGTCTCCTTCGTGTCGTGCAAGACTTTATTTCTTGCGAGAAGGAAAAATTCGCTAAATTCAAAAAACGAAATCCCAAAATTATCATAAACTGGGATTTAATTCATTGTCGGCTGTTGGGAAGACACCGTTGTCGATAACATCGACAAAGATTACGATCGACCCATTCAACATCTTCATATTAAAGCTGTAGAATTTGAGAGTTCGGAAGTCACCAAGAGACGGCTGTCTCCAAAAACACTCGAGCAGATACGCCAACGTAGAATCGTGCGAGCTGCATACAACCGCCCACTCACGTTCGAACTTGCAAAACGTGCAAACAGGTGATAAAAGAAAATCTAAAGAGAGAAAAGCATTAGTTATGGTCGAAGCTGCGGAGGCTGGAAAAAGCATTCTCAAAGCCCACCAAGCCTAGTCGATCACAAAACCAAGACGATTGCAACCCGACGCCCAGACGAAATAGTTACAGCTTCCAAAAAGAATGAAAGAAATCATTCGCGACTATTACTGGGTCATTTCAGTAGCCACGTCTTTCTGTTCAAATACTAAATAAAAGACGATGAATATGTCGTCCACATTTCAGAAACCTGGCGTCGACGTCGAAGAATCGAACAATACCAGGTCCCGACAGGATAAGAACCGAACACCTGAAGAATCATCCATCAGTTCTCGCAAACACACTGGCTCGGCTTTTCACATCCTACTATCAGAACGCAATGATCCCATTCACTGGAAGACCAGCACGGCCGTTCTATTGTTCAAGAAGGATGGCCTCTACGCTATCGGCAACTATCGCCCAATCTGCTTGCTGACTGCCGTCTACAAACTTTTCACTCGAGTCATAGTAAACAAGATTAACAGAACACTGGACGAAAGGCAGCCATGTGAGCAAGCAGGTTTTCGAAAAGGATTCAGTACGATGGACCATATACATACGATAACAAAACTCATTTAAGTATTGCGAGAGCACAGCAGATCAATCTGTCTCACATTTATCCATTTGAAGAATGCTTTTAAGACAAAGCAGTCATGGAGACACTGGACAGCCAATAACACCCCAATCAGTATAAAAAGATTCTTCGTGAGCTATATAAAAATTTTAAAAAAATGATATCACCATTCTACAAGGATATTAACATCGATATCACCTCGCCAAAATTATTCACCGCTACCCTCCGGAACGTCGAGTGAACATTGGAATGGGATAACATGGGAGTGAAAATCGACGGCCGGCAGTTACAACATCTTCGCTTTGCTGATGACATCGTCCTTATAACATCAAACATTAGCGAAACCGAACGAATGCTTGCCATCTTTGATAACGCTTGTGGAAAGATTAGTCTTCGACTAAATCTCACAAAAACGATGTTCATGAAGAACGGATTGGGTTCGCATGGCCCATTCACGCTCAACGGAACGAATGTCTCCGAATGCTCCATTTATTCTATCTAGGTCGGGAAATCAATATGCTGAACGACCTAGCTCCATAGCTAAACAGAAGTAAACGAGCAGCTTGGGGAGCTTTCAGGAGCATTGAGGATGTAGTGAAGAGAACAAAAAACACCCGACTACGTGCCCAGCTTTTCGACTCAACGGTACTTCCTGCCCTAACGTATGCGTCAGAAACCTGGTCGCTGCGTAAGCAGGATGAAAAACCACTCAGCGTTATCGAACGCGCATTCGAAAGGACGATGCTAGAAGTATCCTGTGTCACGCAATTAAGGGGAGGGATCCGAAGCTTCGACTTGCGTCAACGATCAAAAATCAAAGATGCCGTTCTGTACGCCAAAGAGAACATAAGGTGGGCCGGACATGTATTGCGTATGGTTGACAGCCGATGAACAAGAGCCGTTAGTGACTGGATTCCTCGGGATGTTGAACGCACTGCAGGAAGGCCACCGACCTGATGGCCAGAGTTCTTCACAAAGAGCCTTGAAAAAGATATGATGCTCGACGTGTCCCTAGAGCCAGCAGAACTGGGCTACTCTTGCACGCGACAGGGAAAAGTGGAAGATTTACTGGCGCCCGCTCGAGTCACTCGACGAACAACGGGACAACAGGTGATGCAGGTGACAGTTTTCTACCTAAGGCTGCTATCCGCCATCACCCGTTAGTTGTATTGATCTGGGGACCAAAAATCGGTATTGAACCTAGTCAAGCTCAGGTTCAAGTCGAAGTCACAATGTTAATCTTTTCTTTCCTGCCCACTATAATTTTTCACGGCAGGGTGTGATGCTGAGTTATGTGCAAAACTCCGGAAGTCAGGTGCAAACGGTGGAGACTGAAGATGCTGTTGGCTTTCCAGGGACTAACACGTTCAGCATCACGCCATACACGTCCTTCTTTTCACCTTTCTCTCAGTTACTTTTCTCTCTACCAGTGCCATCAGCAATCGTCCGTCAACGGGATAGATCTGAGGAGCCCACATTGGCTTTGAACCCAGTTAAGCTGAGGCTGAAGGCGAAATCACAATGTTAATTTTTTTATTTACTGCAGTCTGCAGCCCTAGCTTAACCGGGTTCAATGCCGATGTGGGCTCCCGAGATCAATCCCGTTGACGGGCGATTGCTGATGGCACTGGTAGATAGAAAACTAGCTGAGAGAAAGGCGAAACGAAGGACACGCATGTGCACTGGTGAACGCTTGTCCTCCCGAAAAGGGTAATACCGTGTTCGATCTCTACGGCGGAGATCTGCGGTCCAGAGTTTTGCACATATCTCAGCATTACTGTGGTTGTCCCGTGATAAGTTCTTGCTTTTTTCTTTAGACAATCCATTTTGCGGATGCTAGTATCATTATCAGCTCGCATTCGTCGGGTGAGGTTGCCTTATTCGAGCAATGCTGCACTGAGGAATATTCGACTCGGTACGACGACGAAAACACTGTATCGAGAGTAAGTATCGAGTATCGAGACTGTCTATATCGACTCGAATCATCGGCTTTGATAATGATGAAGATGTCGATCCGTTAGCCGAATAAAGTTCTTTATCAAACTCGCGTTAGCTTACGAATGAAAGAATACTGGGATTTTTGCTTTGATATTTTCCAATAGGTATCTGAAACGATGAGAACCAAAAGAGTCCAAAGAAAAGTCCCATAGTAATCTATATAGCTCATTGAAGGGCTTTAAACTGTGAATATGCTTGACGTTGTATATTGACACGCTCGGGACGAGACCACGTCTCCAGGGAATCGTTTCGACTTCTGCCATCGTGGGTCTGCTCACACATACTAAAAGCCGGCCTCGATAAAATGTGAGTCCTTAGTGTTTTTATGATTTTCACATAGCTTTTCCTTTCAGGATTTGGAACGACTACTTCTTTTGTGGGCTTCTTGTCATGTTTTCTGTTATTTCTGTTTTTCATCACTCAAGATTATTTAAATGACTATGTGAGGCATTATAGCAGTTGTCAAGTTTGTTTATAACCAACGAGTATTGGTGGGTCGCCTGCCTGTGATGGACGAGGTACACTGTGCGCTCAAGTTGAGAAATTGCCCCGTTGTGTATTCGAACACTCGCTAACGTATTTTCGAACGGCATGCTTACTCACCCACTTAATGGCGGCCTAAAAGCACTTCTTCAGAAGTGCAACGTTTCACTTAATTATTTAGAAGACAATACGGTACTCTACTCGTTCACAGTGATCACCGAAAGAATGTGACTTGACTTCTCTTCAAATTACTACAGCGATATTCCAACTGCACATGACATTTGATTTACCAATCAGTTAAAAGTACTAAGAAGCTGGATCGATTTTCTTCGTGATATAGTAGCACTTCATTCTATCATCATTGCTCCTTTCTGCTTTTACATTATTCTCCTTTTATCTCTTGATTGTCATCAAGTTTACTTGGCAACTGTTGAGTCATCGATATTGTGAAATATCATCCCCGCTATAAGAAGGATATTCGGAATTTATATGTCTAGCATACAGAATCATTGGAAACATACATTGGTAGTCCACCTCTAGTCATTATTCAGACCAGATATGCATCCAGTCACCTCTAACGATGCTTTAACAAATAGAAACATATTATAACTTACATTTCGTATGTAATAGTTATGAAGGATGAGCCTCCATCTTTGACTTGTTTTGCGTATTCCAGGTATACGTAACTCTCACACTACGTACCTTTTCCTAGGAGCAGTTCTACACTTTTGTTAACTGAAATAGCTCGAACGAATACAACCGTCCACAGTGCGCACCAGAACTGCTCAATGAGATGTGTGCTCAAGGAGTCCGAGGATTATCACAAATTTTCCACAATTTTTCTTTACCTTTCGAAGTCTTCTTCTAATGTGTTTAACAAGAAGGTAGCGTAGGTTTTTTCTCGCTCGCTTTTTAGGATTGTGGATTCACACCGCCATGAAGCTGATAGAGCTGTCGACGTTTGTCAATCCTTAGGAGATGCGCCCTGAATTTGACTTTATTAAAGAATTGTCAGAGGTGATTGAATGCGTATCTGGCCTTTGCAATGATAGACGATGGCGTATAAAATAAGTGGTAAATAGAAAACATTAGAAAGAGGCGAAAACATTAGCAGATGTATAGATGAACAACCAGTAAGTATCTCAAAGGAGGAAGAGAAAATGGCCGTGGTAAGTTTCAGGACAGACATAGAGAAATGGAACGCTCTACGGATACTCAGTGGAAGTTTCATGCTCGAAAGCACAAGACTAAAAGGAACCTTCTTATCTTCTATTTGTCAAAAGCCGAAAGAAGCCCACATATAGACTGCCTTGCAAAAACATCTTATTGAATCTCAGAGTTCGATTCATAAACGTCATTCGATACCGCAAGAAAAACGTTAACGCCTTAAATGAGAGCTTTTCAGCCCTCATGTGAGCTGTCATAAAACGCATGAGGAATAAAAAAGGGGAAACAAAGCCAGCACATTGAACCAATACTCCAAAAACCGGATTTATTTCAACCTCAGCTTGATTTTCAATGTGCATTCTTTACTGATAAGTTAACACGAGCTTGATAAAACAAACTTTGTTTGGCAAACGTTTCGACAACTTACTCCTCAAAGCGCTGATCCGAGTCGATGTCCACAGTCCTTCGTACTCTCGATAGGGTGTCTTCGCCTTCGTATCGAGTCGGATCTTTTCCGGTGGAGTACTGCTCGAATGAAGGAGCCTCAATCGGCCATGTTTTTCTATACAGGTCGATTTAAATATTGATTTGCTATGTGGAAGCATATCTCATATCGGCTACTGAAGCATAGTTGTCCGTTGGAAAACAAATTATTAGAAGCTGACAATCATTACCAACAGTAACCATCCTGTACAAAAGAGAGCTGCTGGGTGACGTTGCCTTACTGAAGAACATTAAACTCACTACGAAGTTGTAGACACTATACCGAGTGGAAGAACGACTGTGGACTATCGATTCGGTTTATGTTCTCTGAAGAGGAAGAAGACATCGAAAGGTTAGCTAAATAAACAGATGGAAACAAGCTTGTGCTAGCTCACCGATGAACTAAGGTACAAATACGAGCTTCCACGTCTGACTGTGGAAAGAACACTCCGGATTTGACAGGAAAATCAGTTCCTGAAGGTCATCACAGACTCCCATCACATCCTGATTCTCAAGGTTCCTCAAAGGCGATGGAATTCGCTGCCCTTGCGTTTTTCTGAGACGGCGCCCGAGTGGTGATGCTGAGTGGGGCGTTAAGCGATCTATTTCTTCCGCTTATCGTTGTTTCGCTAGTGGATAGCTCAGCATTCAAGAACATCAGTCTATCGTTGAAACTAGATAACAGTTCTGGTGCTGGCTTACCCGTACCAATCTATTATAACCATTGCTAGCTATACCAGCTGTGCTACGAAAGCCTATATGTTTAGTTTCTATTTTCGTGTCGCATTTCTAGTTTTCTTCGTCTTATACTTTGATGTTTAACTAAGGGCCGTCGATACCTATATTACACGTGATATGTCAGACATTTCAGCAG